TTTACTTTTTATTTAATTTTTTTATTTATCTTCTCTTTCATAATTCTCTATTTAATTTTGGCTAATCAATTATTAAATATTTTAAATTATTACCAAGACTGGGCGCTTTTCTCGCAAAACATAAAAGCTGGGCTATAGCTAGCTGGGTTATAGCTAGCTGGGCTATAGCTTACTAGGCTATAGCTATTTCATAATTTATTTTTATTTTTTGCCTAATCATTATTAAAAAATTTAAAAATATTGTCAAGCTGCGCGCGTGAGTGTTTATCACTAAACATAAGGCCTTTCTCTTACCTTTTTTACTACGGACTAAAAATAAAGTTAAATTTAATTTTTATATTTAAAACTTTTTATTGGTAAAAAGGTACGCAGAATCAGCGGAACAATTGATATAGAAATTCTGTTCTTCTGCTGTCTGTAGAGACTGCAGAATCTGCGGAAAATTGATACAGGCCTTTTGTAAACAACGGCCAATACTTTATCGAAAACTGATTATTAACGGTATAACTTTCGTATTCTCTTGTTTTTGGCAATAAGTTTTAAACTCTTACAAATTTAAACTTTTACTTTTTATTTAATTTTTTTATTTATCTTCTCTTTATAATTCTCTATTTAATTTTGGCTAATCAATTATTAAAAATTTTAAATTATTGCCAAGACTGGGCGCGTTACTCGCAAAACATAAGAGCTGGGCTATAGCTAGCTAGGTTATAGCTAGCTGGGCTATAGCTTACTAGACTATAGCTATTTCATAATTTATTTTTAATTTTGGCTAATCAATTATTAAAAATTTTAAAATTTTGCCAAGGCGCGCGCGTAAGAGTTTCTCCCTAAACATAAAGCTTGCCTCTTACCATTTTATTCCTTTACTACTGACTTAAATAAAGTTAAATTTAATTTCTAAAAATTTTAAATGTCAAATAAAAATCTAATACACATTAATTAAAGTTTGTAAAGAGTTAATAATATTCATAATATGCTACATATAGTAAAGCAGATATAGTAATTCCTCTCCTTTAGTTAGTTCAAAAGTTTATGGGAGCGAACATCATCTTCAGTAGACCGGATTATTTGTTATCCATTACACAATCCCGACTACCGCACAGCCTCAAGAATTAAATAGCGATATGCTTTAAGTTTTAACACGTGTTATATAATTTTTAGCAAATGCTTTTTATTTTCAAAATTCATCTGAAAGTCCTAATTGTGACATATTTTTTGAGTTTTGAGTTTGATATAATCTACGGTGCTCCAAGAAGAAATAAGAAGGATAAACAAAAGGAACATGGTAAAATTTCAGCATATTAAATTGTAATTCTAATATTAATTGCGTAATTTTTTGAATTTTTAGTTCGGGTCATATATTTTTAAATAGAAACCCTATAATTGGAAAAAAGCAAAAAAATTCAATAGTGTTAATTAATATTTTCCAAATAATTTTTAAGAGATTTCTAATGTAAAACTAAAAGTTTTTTCCGTCATCCTAGATATAAGCAATATTGACGATGAACATAATCCACATTTTGGACAAACACATGATTATGAAATGTTTCAATATCTTTTGCGCAATCCTCCAGAAATAGGTTAAAATTTTGAAATTACTTATGAATTTCATTAAAAAGGGATAAATAACATAAAAATAACTAAATAACATTTATAGATCAATTTTTGTAATGAAACAATAGATTAAAGGAGATAACTTGGGATTTGCTGGATAATGTAGATTTGAGATAACATGAGATTAAGGGATTAGGTAGATTCAAACCGAGGGGTTGATTTTCAGATATTATACCCTTAATCTCCATATATCCCACTTAATCCCCCACCCGATATCCACCAAATACATACAAAGATATACTCTAAATCCGAATTATCACTATTAATCCTCAGATATTTTGCCCATATAAGATAATATCCGAGATATTATCTTTAAAACCCATATAAAATTCCTCTTAATCCCCCATTCGATATCCCTCCAAATCCACAAAAATCTCTCCAAATCCGGAGATATTATCGCCAAAGATACATATTATCCCAGATATTATCCTTAATCCCCTATATTCCGCTTAATATCCGCTTAATATCCCACCCCCACCCCCTCCCCCATTTTACTTTAAATCCAACGATATCACTTCGAATCTTCTATATCCGCTCTAATCCCAAGATATACCTTTATTAATCTAATAAATGATTAATGAAATTTTATTTATAGGCAACTACCAGACTTCAACATCATTGCAGGTCTATTTAAAAATTCAAACTTTATGAGTGTCTTTCTGAATTTATAAAAAAACCTTTCGGTATTACCTAAAATTACATTATATCCTCCAACCAAAAATTAAGTTAAACCCAATTTTATTAAAGCAATATTAAAAGTAGTATCATTATAGCAATTTTTAAATTTTTTAGCAGGGAAATATACAAGGATCGCAAGGATCCTCGTACATCTTACCGCATGAAGATGTTCACGATAATACCTTATCGGGAGGGAATGATTTTAGGTTAGTTTTATTCTAATAAAATTTTAATAATGAAAAAAAGTTTCACCAAAAAATAGTCTATAATATTTTTTAACGATAAAAACTTTAATGTTCCAGTGCTAAACGAGATTATAATCATTATTTGCAATATCATCAACACGATGAGGGATTAGATAACTCGTATTATGCCACAAATAACTATATACATCCGAATGCGCAGCAATATGAAGGTTCTGCACAAAGTTTTCAAATACATCATGAAACTAATCACGAAGGCATTAATCTTTTTACATTACTTACTATCATTTTCCTATAGAAACTCCTTTATATCCTATAGAAACTCCTTACTATCATTTTCCTATATTGTTAATATAATATTGTTGCATTTTCTTAGATGTGGGAAATATTGGTTATGATCAAAGCACACATCCCAAACAAGCACAAAACTATGAAATATTTCAAGATCTTTTACGCAATCCACCAGAAATTGGTCAAGAAGATTTAAAATATAAATCAAAGACTTCCCCGTGTGAGTTTTTTGAATCTTTTAGGGGAGCATATACACTGTCAAAAAATTATAAGCATCCCCAAGCCCTTTACCCACATTTTCTGATGCTGCAAAAAGAGATACCGTACTTCTTCTAATAGTGCGAACGGTCGGTTTATTTTTCAACCCTCCTCTAGAGGGCGGTTTATTAGAAGGAGTCGGTCTATTAGAATAGAGTCGGGTTATTTTTCAACCTTCCTCTATAGGGTCGGTTATTATAAGGGGTTGGTCTAATAGAGGGAGTCGGTTATTTTTCAACCTTCCTCTAGAGCGTCGGTTTAATAGAAGGGGTCGGTCTAATAGAAGTCGGACTATTAGAAGAAATACGGATTTTAAGTCGATAATACAAATCGTAGCTTTTAAAACATTTATGACTCACAGAGTTCATATTTGTTGAATAATGCGGATCTTGACGCAGATAATACAGTAATAAGTATAAAGATACAGGAGGGTTATATTAAGACTGTAGGTAAATATACATATATTAATCCATCGAATCTTATTAATACTTCCAAATCCCCTTAATCCCTATGAGGGACCAGGCCAACCTACCGCAGCCCAACCTACCGCCGAGGCTATAACTTTTTTCAGAATTGTTGAATCCAGAAAGACTTGGTATGGTTCGATATGCCTCGACGAGCTGAATCCAACCATACCAAGTTGTCTCAGATTAGACAATTTTGAACGGATTATAGCCTCGGCGGTAGGTTGGGCTCGCTGTAGGTGGGGGTGTAACCTCCATATGATTCCCTATCAAACCAAATTCTCTCTCTCATTATCAATACCAGGATATTTCCATATATCACTACAAATCACAATAATCCAGTCAAAGACTTTGTAGTCACTCTAAAAAATTGTATTGATTAAATTAGGGGCCGTTTCTCTTCATAATTTTTAAAATTTAGTTAGATCACCCATCTGGGATTATTATACAATTTTCTTGAATAACGATGGTGTTCGACGTGTTCAATGTAAATTTTGTAGTCAACAATATAACTTCAAACCAGAGTCTACCTCGGCAAATTTCAGGGGTCATCTCGAAAAGAAGCACAAAGAACAATTTGAGGAATATCTTAATAAAACAAAACGCAATAAAAAGGAAAAAGATGGTCACGCATTTTCTAAAGCATTACATAATCTAATCGAAATAGCATTAATCCGTCGTACATTTTGGGAACATGGGAGTTTCCTGAATAATTTAGTAAACTTTAGTCAACTAGAATATCCATTCCTTTGTTCTCCCTCATAACATTAAATTTAACTATTCTCAGATGCAAGTGATATTGGTTCTGATCGAAATCCACGTTCCAAACAAACACAAAACTACGAAATACTTCAACAGTTTTTGCCACCGGAAACTACTGAGAATAATTCAGAAACGAGTTCAACAAAACCTCGTCAGTTTCTGAATATAAAGGGGGCGTGCGGCTTTACAATAGTAACCCATAATTATGCCAGATAATTAAAATCACAAAAATTTTGTATGGTTAGACAGATTAAAAATCATAAATATTTAGTAATACTTTTCCTATTCGGCCTAACTGCACATTAGTAGGATCATTCGACTCAGCTCGACGAGCTAATTCGAATGAGCCATTATTTGCATATTCGAATTTTTCACCCCCAGAAAACAGCTTGTTCCCCTCTAGGTTTTTTAATTTAGGTGTCTGTAACTCGGCTCAAAATTTTTTCGCGGAATAATTTTGGTGTCATTCGACTCAGCTCGACGAGCTCTTTCAAATGTCATATAAATCATCTATTTTTAGATCACGTTACTAAAGTGCAGTTTAACCTCCTATACTTATATCTTAGACAAATCTTCTAAAATTTTAAATAGTAATAATTTTATTATTTAGGTACATCAATCATCTGGAAATATTTTGACATCTTTCAATATAATGGTGAACGATATGTTCGATGTAAAATTTGTCAACGTCCATTTAAATGGCAGTTAAATACTTCCTCGGGAAGATTCAAGGGACATCTTGATACGCACGTAAAAAATCTGAAGAAAATGAAGCGTGCTCATAATGAGGAGTGATTCCGATTACAACCCCGACGATTTTTGGTACTCTTGTTATCTCCCACCATTTTATTTTTTCTTTATAGTATTTAAATGTGATTCTTTTTAAAGTAGAGTAGGTCAAGATCGAGGTTTTTTTTAAAAAACCGAGACCGAGGGCAAAAAGGCCGGTAACGCCAAGATCGAGGTAGAGGGGTAAATATTGCCTGGGTCGAGGTTCGAGCATAATAGGTTCTTAAAATTTTTTTTATAAAACTTCAAAATTTAAATAAATTTACAGAATTTTATCAAAAATACACTAAATCGTTATCAAATTCATCTTTTTAATCTTATCAGATTCAGTAGGTAGCAGGTCTACTGACTTGCTACTGTAGCAGGTCTACTGATACAGGTCTTGTGGATAATTCTCAGAACTATTTCTGTTAAAAAAGAGTCAATCTTTAGGGGTGTATATTTAGTCTCGATCCTCGGCGAGGTTCTTACGAGGACCACGAAAAGGTTCCGTGACTCGAAGTCAGCAAAATCGGAGTCGATGTTTATAAATGGGCGAGGACCTCGGCCTCGGCGAGGCCTCTACCTCGACCTACTCTACTTTAAGTTGATTGTTAAAGGAAAATTTAAATTTTTTATATCCATTTGATATTGATGATTAGAGATCGGAGTTTTAGTTCGTAAAAACTTAAAAATGGGTAACTAAATAGGTTGCAAAAGAGGATAAAAAGGTGACAAAAGCCCTAAACGTATTTCCTAAAATAGTAATCGTCCTGAATTACATAGTATGTACTACCCCTAAAATAGACTCCCCTATACTGAAAAAATTATAGAAGAGGATGAAACGTACTTTTTTAATTCTCTAAGTAGCCCCTCAAATCTGTCAATATCTCTTTTAATCACCAAATCACCTGATATAACTTCTAATCCCCAAAATCGCCAATATCCTTTTTAGCACTCTAAATTTTTTGATATCGACTTTAATCCACCATATTCTCCTTAATAGCTAAAAATCCCCTTTTATCCCATAGGTGATAACAACTCCCCGTAATCAAGAGATATTTAAGAAATAACAAGTGATTTAAGCTCAATTCATTAAGACTACCGTAAATCATCTAAAATAATCTCCAGGGCTTATTTTTTTCGATCGATCTCTAGAGTGGGCTTATTTTAGGGGGGGGGGCTTATTTTGGGGGGGGGGTGCTTATTTTTTCCGATCGACCTCTAAAGGGGGCTTATTTTAGAGGGGGCTTATTTGGGAGAGGTGCCTATTTTAGAGGATTTACGGTAGTTTCCAAAAATAGGTTATAACCTAAAAATCCGGTATCTATTAATGATTTACGAAAAATTGTAGAGTACCCCCTACTAAAAAATTAGATTACCCCCTACCCCCTAACAGCTCTGGTTAACTCGGTATTTCTTTTATACTGTTTTTATTGGGAAAATATCCGATTCTTATTCCAATTACATTCTAATACCAACTTTAATTAGAAATTTGTTTTAAATTTAAAATTAGGATGTAATTTGAATTAGAATCTGTTATGTATTTCCCCCATATTTTTAATTATGTCTTTTCATGTTTATTTTCCCATTATATTTTAAAGTATTTTAAATGTGATTCCCTTTGATATTGTAAAGCATATAGCTATTAATTTCCTAAGGCTTTCCAGTAGACGGCGTTGTGTAATGCTAACACATCATTCCGGTCTACTGAAGATGCTGGTTCGCTCCCAGCCGCCGAATAACCTCTTGCACTAACTAAATGAGTGAAATAGCTATAGCCCAGCTGCTTTACTATATTAATTTTTTATTTTTTTATATTTTTAAAGATTTATATTAGTAGTAAAATCATTTCTGTCTCGTATTCATAAAGACGTTAATATTAGAGCCCGGACCGAGACGTTATCTCGATCGAAAATCTCGGTTGTCAGATCGGAATTTTTCGAGATTTCGATTCTTGTAGGACACCTGTCTGGGCCAGTTAATAAAACTAAACTTAATTTTCGGGGTTCGCTTTATAAATTTTCAAGGCGTCTCACTTTCTTTAAGAGCATTATTTTTCTCCCGGCATTCTTTTCACATAATAAGCCCACCGCTAATTTCTATCGGTGATATCCCCTCTTTGCTATCGCCTCTTCATGTATATCACCTCTCTGTTATCACCTGCGATATCCCTCTCTGTTATAGCCAATAGACTTGGCATTTGGCCAACAAACGCCGCGCTCTTCTAAGGATGCCCTTAAATTGCCCTCTCTCTTCTCTCCATCTTCCCTCCCGATTTTATTTTTTTGTTATCACCTGTGATATCCCCTCTCTGCTATAGCCAAAAGACTTGGCATTTGGCCAACAAACAACGCGCCCTTTTAAGGATGCCCTTAAATTGCCCTCTCCTCCCTCTCCATCCTCCCTCTCCATCTTCCCTCCCGATTTTATTTTTTGTTATCACCTCTGATATCTCCTCTGCTATAGCCAAAAGACTTGGCATTTGGCCAAAAAATGCCGCGCTCTTCTAAGGATGCCCTTAATCCCCCCTTATGCCCTCTTCTAATAATGCCCCTCTCCTTTCTCTCCATCTTCCCTCCCGATTTTATTTTTTTGTTATCACCTGCGATATCCCTCCCTGTTATAGCCAATAGACTTGGCATCGGCCAAAAAATGCCGCGCTCTTCTAAGGATGCCCTTAAATTGCCCTTTCCTTTCTCTCCAACTTCCCTCCCGATTCTCTCCATCTTCCCTCCCGATTTTATTTTTTCAGACACATGATTTAGGCATTCATATGGCAGTCAAAGCGCGCATGCCTTTTTAATTTCTATCGCCTCCCAAATTCAATAAAATAGACAAGCAAAATTGATTTTTACATCATAGACAGCTGCCTGGGCATTTTAAATTTTATTTTTAAAATTTTTTCCTCATGAACTCTCCTCGTTAATAGAATATAACATTTAAATTTTAAAGGATTTCTTAGGATTTTCCTCAAGTTTTTTGTCTAGAATTTCTTAAAATAAGTAGTATATCTTCACATTAGAGAGAGTTAGGCCTAGCATTTATATTATTCTTTATTAATGTAATATACATATGTATTTCCTATATGAATAAAGGCGCTTATCATCATGCTTCGGCAAGCCGGAGGACCTGATCAACCCTCAGAAATACCCCATATGGACAGGCCCTTGCCAGCACGCTGTTTGCTGTTTTTCTCTTTAAAAAATAGAACCTTCTGAAAATTAGTGATTTTATTAAAAATTCCCCCCAAAATAAAACCGGTATTTGGCTAAAACTCAAAACCGAAACCGGTTTTATAATATTTGGATATTTCTTAGAAATTTCTCATCCCCAGAAATCTTAGAATTTCCTAATCACCAGTGTCGCTGCTCCCCGAAATATTTCCTTAAAATTTAGACAACCACTGAACTTTTAAGTAAAAATTTAACTTTATTTGCCTTATCCTAACGATATTTTTGTCTTTAAATGTTTGCTTCGTTTAATTAAATAAAAAAAATTTTAAGAAATTAAAATGAACATTCAAGGCCACAAGCTGTGGTGGCCTTTGTTGATTCTCCAATGCATTTTAATTCTGTTGATTGCGCAGATGGCGGATTGTAATTCAAGCAATGAGACAATTGAAAAACGAGTAATTTCAAAACCCCCAGACATAATAAAAGATATTTGGAAGATAAATACCTTAGTGAAAAATATTTTCACAAAGGAGACGATAAATGTAAATAAAGAGTTGGAAAAGCTGAAAGTATTAAATCCGAAAATATTAAATTTATTTAAGTACACAAAAGGATTTGAAAGATTAAATATATATGTTAAAAGACACATTGAGAAGAAGAACAATGCAGCGATAACACAAACCGATTTGATAACAAATTATGAGGTTTATTTTTAAATCGGGTTATAATCTTACATACGGTTAGAAGCTAAAATATTACCCTAAATATTAGGGCTTCACCGGAAGTGCCGGTTCCGGTTTCGGAAACATTAGAAAGTTCCGGTTCCTGAATCCTGAACTCAAAAACATACATAAACAGTTAGAGGGTGTTGATTAGATAGATTTCGTTCAGAAATCACTGATGTCGAAAGTAGTCAGCGACACCTAAACTGAACTAATCGACATCTTCTACATCGAGGACTTGGCTTCGTGAATTTAAGCAAGTATGTCCTTGTTAGAAATGGAGAGCTTTCAGGATTATTAACATTCATCGAAGATTGATTGAGTCTCTTGATTTAGTCCGTCCAACCGATGGGTCTGACTCTTGTTACTACTATAATAGGTGTCCATTAACGTGGTTCATGAAGTATGTCGAGTCCGAGCGAGGTTCATGAAAACAATAGATGAACTTAATGAAACCGTGGACAAAGATTCATTGTCCTTAACGTTGATTTAATTACATTAAAATTTAGGAATTGAACTACAGCTTGAATATATTGGAGGATAACGATTTCGAACAAAGAATGGAAACAAAACTTGCTTGTGATAATTTATTTTCTCAAGAATTAGAAAAATATTCCTTAAAAGAAATTTGTAGCCAGTTACAAAAGATGGTTAAAATTTATGGTGTTGGATTAGAAAATGTGTATGAAAAACAGACACAAAAATTGGACATTAATTATGAAATTAAGACAATTTTAGAAGAATTGGATGGAATTTTTCATATTTTTGAAATTAAAAAGAACGGTAAGACATTTATGAAATCATTGGGAGTGGTTGGGAGGGAGAGTAGAGAGGTGTTTCTTGTGTTTAACAAACCAACCAAAAAATTAGTTTGCCATTTTTTCTAAAGATATGTATAGCTTCTTAACGATAGTGACCAGATCACCTATTCAACCCTTGGGTAAATGGTAGTATTTCACCTGAACTGATATATTGACCGGAACCAGAACCGGATCCAATTTGAGTTCCATTTCCCGGAACAGGAAAAATTTTTTTCCCGGAACAGGAAAAAAATTTTGCTAACAAATTTTAAAAAATTAGTATGTTAAGTACGAACCGACTAACCTAACCGTAAAACCGAACCGAATTACCAAAATACCCTGATATGACCGATACCCCACTAATTTCATAATATCTCCTTTGATCCCCAGATTTCTTCGAATTATCCATAATCCCATTAGATCCCTAGGTATATAATACAGAAATATTTCCTTATCCATCGTTGAAGAGCCAAGAAAGATCTATTTTTAGCGAGTACTGTAATTTTGTTCAAATTAAGATGTTCCTCGCATTTCTTATAATGATCTTCAACAAGAAAATATCAAATTAAGTAAAGATAACTCTGTGGAGAGTTTAGTGGAATATTCACTAAATTATCAACAATTGATGGCTGCCGCTGGATTTTTTAGTATCGAAGCAAACACAAGTGCATTATTAACATTTATCTCTAAAATCAAGGAAGGGGAGGATAAAGCAATGCTTAAAGAATTTAGTATAGCTTATATACAGAAATATGCGGAAAAATTACATACAACTCTGAATAAGAAAAAATCTATATTCACTAGCAAAAATAAGCAGGTAAATTATCTAATCCCTAGATAAATATACGGACGTAAACCTCATGGAGGGTTAACCTCATGAAAGGTCCAGAATTAAAGAAGAACTCGATTAAGCTTTCTTACATTTAGATTGTATATACATACATGTACTAAGCTTTCTCCAAATCAGACGTCGGCCAGAATTCCAATTTCCGACTTCCGACGTTTTTTTCTTTCCAATTTCCGAATTCCGACTTCTGAGGCATTTGCGATTTCGGACAGTTCCGATTTCCGTCACCTTCGCCATTTCCGACCGACCTCTGCCCCAAAACTATGGAATCATACTTGGTAATACTGTTGCTCCTTTATTCCTCAAAAGGGTTGTCAGTTCTTTGAAAATTTTCCTATAATCGGAACTAATCTGTCGTTCACTCTATTAAGCAATTCTGTTTTAAGGCCAAATTAAACGAAAAAATTACACAACAATTAAACAATTTGGACATTGCAATCAATTTGGGTTACATGCGTTTTATTTACATGGAAGAATTTTGTAAAAATGTGGATAAAATATACAAAGGGGATAAATTAGGGAAGTTCAAGGAGTATCTGAAGGATTACTGTACTGGAAACATAAATAAGATTTTGGACAGTTTGAAAACTGTAATTAAATATGATTAGGTGATCGGAAGATGTGAGTGATTCTAAGGTTATAATAAAGTCAGATCTTCATTTAGGTACCTATATTATTTCAGATAGAGCTATGTAAATATATGTATATACGTTTGTAACTGATTTTGCGCAATATTTGCGACAACAATTTTGAGGAACTTGAGATGCTGACTCTCGGAGATCTTGAAGATTTAACAAAAGGACCTTTGAATCTTCGAGTCCATTACCTCATATTATTTAGCTTTTTTTAATTGACTAAATCAGACAAGCTTCCTTGTGATGATGAAACATGTTAAAATGTGCGTGTTTTGTTGATTTTGAACAAAATTTAACAAGTTTTAGTGAGGACCAGACCTGGGCGAAACTCAAAATTTTTTTCTGACGAAACGAAACGAAACAAAATTTTTTAAAAATCGTTTCGTTAACGAAACGAAACGAAACAACCAAAATCTTACGAAACGAAACGAAACAAAACGAAACATTTTAATATTCAAAAAATTTTCAAAACTGCATTTATTTCGAAATTATTCGACCTCAAATACGTTATTAGTCGACTATGACTTATAAATGATTTAGTTATTGGTTTATTTACAACAATTGTGTCCCATAAGCCAGGCCCGTAGCAAGGAAAATTTTCGGGGAAGGGGGGGGGGTCAATCATTTTCGAAGCCAAATTTTTGGCGACGCTTTTTTTTAAATAAAATTGAATATTTTTCAAGTAAAATTTTATTTTAAGCGCCGCAGACGAAAAATTTTAAAATTTTGAAAGGCCGTAGGCCAAAAAATTCACCATCTTGCTCCATTGCCTACCCAAATTGTCTCCATATCTCCATTTCGAGAGGAAGGCGATATAAGCTAGTGCTTCGCCGGAAGTTCCGGTTCCAGTATTTCCGCAACTCGCAATCCGCAATTTTTAAATTATGATGCGAGTCCGGTAATAGAATTTGTCGTCGATTAAGTAATATGTATATGTGGATTAGGGAGTGGAGTATAAACGGATTTGTAGTATATAAGTAATTGCTATCTTCCTTTTTCAGCGCCGCAGGCGAAAATTTTGACAATTTGGGAAAGCCAAGAAGCCGAAATTCTTTTTTTTTCAGCGCCGCAGGCGAAAATTTTTTAAATTTTCAATAAAAGATGGTAAATTTTATAGATTTTGGCCTTAGTTTAGGCTTAAAAAATTGTTTCGTTTCGTTGAAAAATCACAGGTGTTTCGTAACGAAACGAAACGAAACAAATTTAAAAGTGTTTCGTAACGAAACGAGACGAAACAGTAAAAATCATACGAAACATACGAAACAACGAAACGAAACGAAACGTTTCGCCCACGTCTGGTGAGGACATTCATGGCATTTTTAGTTTACTGATATAATTTTGTCCAAAATCTCCATTTTAATGTTTCTACATATCAGTTCATTTCTTATTTTTAAGCACCTATGTATATAATTTGTATATATTTTTTGGCATAAAATTTACAAAATTTTAATTAAAAGTTTTTATTGAAACACAATTTTGGTAAGATTTTATAAGCGGATATATTAATATGTCAAATAGGACCATCATCCCCTTGCTTTAAATTAATTTTAGTATACAAAAATTAGTTAATAAAATACTCAAATTTATCTTTAATCAAAAACAATACTACATAAATGAAAAATTTAAAACCGGAGGTAGCAAAGTTGCTAATTGAGGGAATGATTATCAGTGCTGGTTATTTATATCGAAAAGCCCTATGTCTGAAGATCTCAAAGGCAAAGGCTTTCGAGACTTCAAGAGTCTTCTTGTGGATTTGAAGTCATGATAATGACTTCAAAGTCTTCTTGTGGATAATAAAAATCATTTTTAAGTCTAGGACACTAAACATCTTTGACCCATCCCCAGGTAAATTGATAGATCCTGAAACCAGCACTGATATTTACATAACAATTGCCAATTGAGGGAATGATAAACAGTTGCTGGTTATTTGCATCGAAGATGCCTAAATCTGAAGATCTCAAAATCTGAAGATCCCTAAATCTGAAGATCTCAAATGATAAACAGAATTCGAGACTTCAAGAGTCTTCTTGTGGAGTTGAAGTCATGATGATAATGACTTCAAAGTTTTCTTGTGGATAATAAAAATCATTTTTCAGCCTAGGATACTTAAACATCTTTGACCCATCCCCAGGTAGAAGTGATACATCTTGAACCAGCACTGATATTTACATAACAGTTCAAAATTCAAAATGAATTCTTTAGGATAAAAAAATATTTAAATACATTTTCTTTTGTTAACATTTTTTAAATCGTGCCCATAATCGTCTCCTTGCGGATAATCTCCTCAATAATCATCCTAATTGAAGCAAACTTTTTAAACTCGTCAGAATATGTTTTACATATTTATCACAGAAATTTTTCAAGTAATCTTTGAATGAAACTAATATTTCCTCTTCGTAAATTATGTCAACATTTTCACAAAATTCTCCCATGTAAATAAATCGTAAATACCCCAATCTAACTAAGTTTTCCAAATTTATATATTGTTGCATTTTCTTGTCATTTTTCTCTTCCTTAAAAAATTTTTACAGCAAATATTTTTGAAAATTCAATTAGCTGTACAATGGTCTAACTCACTAAGCTACACGGAATTCTTTTCTCTAATCATCCTAAGTCCCCGAATCGCGCATCATTCGAGGAAGGAAAACAATTTACCTTCCAAACAGAGGTCGATCGGAATTCCTATTTCCGACTTTTGAGCTATTTCCGATTTCCGACAGTTTCCATTTGCGGCACCTTCCTCCTTCCGATCGACTTTTGCTCCCAAACTCCACAAATAGCAACTTTGGTTTCAGATTTAAACTATAGCTAGGTTAGATACAAGATACAATTTATAATTTGTATCTTTGATGAAAAATGTTTTTAAAGACGCGATTTACAGTTTATTAAAATGGGACTCCTGTCGATCAGTAATATTCGACTCAGGGTTGCCGTTCGAGTTATTTTTTCGGGCCTTATTTTTTTCGGGCCATACCGGTCGAGTTTTTTAGGACCAAAATTCGATGCCGAACATGGGCGACAACCCTAATTGTAGGCCAACCATAATCGAAGCCCGGCGAACCGAAACGAGCCGGTAACCTAAATTCGAAAGCTTTAATAACATTAAGCAACCCTATACCTTTTTTGTTTTTCCGATAATGAAAGCAGGTTTCTTGCTTTGTTTTTTATCCACTTTCTCAAAATATTTCAAAACATAATCTAGATTTTTTTCTTTAAATATTAATTTATCATCACTTTTTGCGATTTTGTTAACCATATCAAATAAAGCCAGACTTTTTTCTTGACCAACAAAATAATTAACGCAAGACACCAATTGTTGATAATTTTTTGAATGTTTTTCTAAGGTTACCATAGGACTATTAACATAAAATTCGATATGTTTAAGTTGCGGATCAGGGTAATAAATATGTGGAATATCTAAATTTAATTTTTAAATTTAAAAATCTCAATTAAAAAAATTATAATTTTCAAGCTTTATTTTGATAAACTAACAATTAGTGGTAAAAATGGGCTGTATATGGATGGATTAACGGATCTAAGAGATACATATCGGGTTTTTCTTTCAAAAATTTTTATGAAATTAATCCCGCGGGATTAAGATTAAGATCCGAGATTCCAGTGCGGGATCCCGTACGGATTCTAAATATACATATGCACATATTTAATAATTTCGTCCTTATTATTCTGATAGCCGATTTTTAGCTTAGAAAAACCACATTATCTGTATAATCACATTATCTGTAATTTTACTGTATAATAATTTTATTTACCTTCATTTTTAAAGTTTCTTTCATTTTTTAACTCTTTAATTTTTTTATCAGTAGAAACTGAATATCGCAAAATTAAATTTATAAATAAAAATTTTATTTACTAACCAAACTTCTTTTCCAACTCATTTAGCTTTGTTTCTCCCTTACTTTTTGAAGATTCTCCAACTTGATTTTCAGAATAAGTTGCAACGTAATCTAATGAATCAAAATTTTTAAATGGAAGGCTTTACATTAAGAATTTTGACTATGAAATAGGACAAGAAACTTGATCTAACTTCACAGTTTTGACGGGGTGTTGTATGAACATCCCTAGTATTTTAGAAACTTATACTAACATGTACATGAAAGTCACGTGATCCTGTGTATAATTGAGTAATTTGTCTAGACTTTATAGGCTATATGTGAAAGGAATATTCAATTTAAGGATTGAGAAATAATAAATTTAACGAATAAAAAGTGCTAAGTTATTTTCTTTTATCATCCCGTGTTGCACTTAAGTAAAAGCTTCATAATAAAGTTTGCCCTTTTTCTTTCATACTAGTTAATAAAGCAAATGAATAGATCTTCTATTAGTCGTGAGTAGGACTCCTTAACCCTCGAAAAAATTTTCGGTTCGGTTTCGGTTAACCGAAAATTTCGGTTCGGTTTGTCGGTTCGGTTTCGGTTAACCGATGAATCTGGTGAAACCGACAACCCTAGTCGTGAAGATTGAGCGATAACAACCTCTTGTCTAGGAGAGATTTAAGTATTATACCCTACCCAATCTTTTGGTATCTTTCAAGATAGATTTGATCACTTTTTCTATTAACTACAGAGCTAACGCGACTAATAAGATTTAGATTCTCATATATCAAATCTCAGTCCGGGCAAGACTGAGATTCAGACATATAACCAAAATTTGATTAACTACCCAATCACAAAATTTAAGCTATTCTTAAAAATATTTTTAATCGCTACTTTCCGGAATGGCAGACAGAGAAGAACTTTTGACATGTTTTCCCTTCTTAGTTGAAGTTGTATTTGCAATAGTTCCCGCAGTTTCTAAATTTGAACTGGTACTTGAAGAGACTGTTCTGGAGCGTGACAATGTTGCTGTCGTAAACGAGCAGAAAATAATGAAAATAAATAGGAGATAATACAGCTTTGATTTTCGCATTTGAATTTATACGAAGAGTTTATCTAAAATTTTTTGAAAATAAAAATATATAAATTATTAAACTTTCAAAAAAATCAAGAAAGATCCTTGAAATTCAAAAATTTTTATCTTATTGTTAGAATGAAGTGTAACTTAAATTAGATGAAAGGGTATGTTTTTTGAAGTGAATTAATGTTTTATAATTAAAAAATTTTATTATAAAATTTAATAAAATGTTGAGTGTAGCGCCCTGTCTATTTTAATAATTTTGTCTAATATAAAAGCCACGTCATTAAATCAATATAGGTAGATTTAGATTAGACAAAGAGGGGGATATAAGATGAGAGAGTGAAAGGGGGATATATGTGAGTGAGTGGGATATAAGAGAGCGAGGAGGGGTGAGAGTGAGAGGGGAATATATCCCCCCTCATATATTCCCCTCTCACTCCATATATCCCCCTCTCACTCTCATATATACACCTCTCACTCTCATAGCGAGGTGGGATATATGAGAGGTAGTTGAGGATATAAGATAAGAGAGTGAAAGGAGGATATATGTGAGTGAGAGGGGGATATAGAGAGTGAGAAGGGTATATATGAGAGTAAGAGAAGGATATGTTAGAGTGAGAGGAGGACATATGTATGAGTGAGAGCGGGATATATGAGAGTGAGAGGGTGATATATGAGAGTGAGAGGGGGATATATGAGAGTGAGAGGGGGATATATGAGAGAGAGAGGGGGATATATGAGAGTGAGAGGGTGATATAGAGAGTGAGAAGGGTATATATGAGAGTAAGAGAAGGATATGTTAGAGTGAGAGGAGGACATATGTATGAGTGAGAGCGGGATATATGAGAGTGAGAGGGTGATATATGAGAGTGAGAGGGGGATATATGAGAGTGAGAGGGTGATATATGAGAGTGAGAGGGGGATATATGAGAGTGAGAGGGGGATATATGAGAGAGAGAGGGGGATATATGAGAGTGAGAGGGTGATATATGAGAGTGAGAGGGGAATATATGAGAGTGAGAAGGGGATATAGAGAGTGAGAAGGGTATATATGAGAGTAAGAGAAGGATATGTTAGAGTGAGAGGAGGACATATGTATGAGTGAGAGCGGGATATATGAGAGTGAGAGGGTGATATATGAGAGTGAGAGGGGGATATATGAGAGTGAGAGGGTGATATATGAGAGTGAGAGGGGGATATATGAGAGTGAGAGGGGGATATATGAGAGAGAGAGGGGGATATATGAGAGTGAGAGGGTGATATATGAGAGTGAGAGGGGAATATATGAGAGTGAGAGGGGGATATATGAGAGTGAGAGGGGGATATATGAGAGGTAGAGGAGGATATAAGATAAGAGAGTGAAAGGGGGATATATGTGAGTGAGAGGGGGATATATGAGAGTTAGAAAGGGATATATGAGAGTGAGTAGGAGATATATGAGAGTGAGAGAGGGATATATGAGAGTGAGAGGGGGATATATAAGAGTGAGGAGGAGATATATGAGTGTGAGAGGGGGATATAGAGAGTGAGAGGGGTATATATCAGAATAAGAGAGGAATATATGAGCGTGAGAGGGGGATATATGAGAGAGAGAGTGAGGAGATATCAGAGTAATAGGAAGAGATATCAGAGTGAGAGGGGATTAGAGAGTAAGCAATAGAGAGAGAATGAAAGAGGGATATGAGATGGAGAAGAAAAATTGATAAACAATTTTTGATTAAGAAATAATAAATCGAAAGCACCAGGCAATAACTTTGAGGAGGGTGCAGGTTCGACTCCTCAGTGGCTAAACTTTTGATAAACTTTTTCTATATTCGATAAGCATATTGAAGAATAGTTTTACTTTATTCTATGCCTCACATCTTTACTTCAACAAATCACTTCACTGAATTTTTCTGAAATTAACCTGTGAAAAATAAATCGATGAAAAATTCGCAGACGAGAGAGTGTCGAGAGAGTGTAGACGAGAGAGATAACGCAGACGAGAGAGTGTGTAGCTTAACATATAAGCATAAGAGAGACAAAATACCGAACAGGCATTTTTTGACCAACACTTATCCTCATATACTTTATTAAAATTATTATAAAAATATTTAACTATTATATTTTATTAAGTATTTGAATAATTATAATTTTTACATGAATGTATAGTTTAAGTCAACTAGGTGTTAATATTTTAATGCTAATCCTCAAATAAATAAATTATACCGAAGTGAGAAAAAAAAAGATATTTTACATATTTTATTTTAAACAAAAATTGAATCTCAAAAGGGTGATTTGCATGTTATTATTTTAATAATTCAATGGAATAATGAAGTAATCATGTGTTTGAGGATTTTTGAATAATCTAATAAATCGCAGGAAATTAAAAATAATTTACTTCCGGCTTAACTGAGAAAACCAAACAATAATCAATCGGTATTTAAAGCTAAGGATATCTTCAAGTTATCAATCAAATTTAAATTGAGAGCCAGTTTCATTAATATTTCCTCATAAATTTAACATACTTTAATTAATACTTCCTTTTAAATTTTATTTTACTAATTTCAATATTAAATTTGAGGAGTTTTTCATTTTGTTCTAAAATTTTAATTTTGCCAGCTTTTATCTTATTTAAAAATTTTTAAAATTATAGATAGGGAAGAATGTTGTGATATTATATCTGGATTTTGTAATTTTCGGTATTGGGAATTTTTCAAATCACGGCTTTGTTTCCGTGCATTTAAAATCAAAGCTCTGGCTAAATCGGAGCCGGCTACAGAGCTATCACCCAGAACCATATTCCTTACTGATTTTCCTTGTTCTGGAGACCGTCCTGAGCTCGATTGGTAACGGAACCTCTTATCCTTTAGAAACTTACATTTCGAAAGGAACTGTGCGATTATTTGAGACACTCGAAAATATAGAATTTTTAATCAAAATTATCGTTTTTAAGGGTTAACTCTTAAAATTTGGACGTAAAAATGATTGCTTTTTCTTCTACGAATTTATGTTCATTTATATTTTCTGTTGCTATAATTGGTAGCTATGCCATTTTACCAACTAATGGCCAAGCAACATGCCCTTCCGATTGGATCTCAAGAGTGGATCCAATTGATGGTATCACATATGGTTATAAAGTTATTACGAGAGATTGGCTTAACTATTATGAGGTAGATAAAAAGGGATTTTGAACAAATGTTAAAGCCAATATTTTTTAACAGGCTCGGGGCTATTGTGTACGTGCTGGCGGACAAGTAGCTTCAATCCACAGTGCTGCCGAAAACGCCTTCATAGCTAATATCTCGGCTGCCCAGCTCAAGCAATGCCAAACTAATGATTCTGTTTGTGCTACAAGAATTGCACATACTAGCGCCGGATGGGCCTTCCTTGATAGTTTGATGCGTTCCTTCTGGTTTGGAATGAATCGCGTACAGTACCAGCCTTCGTATAATAGTACCCTTGATTGTTCATATCCTGATGGGACGCCCTGTGATTATGGAAGATTTGACGGAGTTGCAAACGCTAACACCAATTCACCTCCATGGTCCCCTGCATGCCCTTCAGGCAGTAATTCGTCAAACGGAGGTAAGAACGATCCAAGTCAGTAGATCCAATAAAATCAAATTTGTAGTCGGTGACCTCGAATACTGTACAATGTTCTTCAACGCTACAACAACATTGGTATGGAACGATATGTCATGTTATCAAAAGCTTGGGGGTGTTGTTTGCAAAATGAACTGCTCGGCGACTAAGACTACTCAAACATGTACCTCATCAGCAGTTGCCACCACAAATGCTGCAGTTACAACTAAAGCAGCTGTTGTTACTTCTGGCAGTGGTTCTGCTGGTAGGCTTTAGACTACAGAAATAATATTATCATATTATCACGTAGGAGGCTCAACGGTTAAATCATTGACAACTAAAAGCTCGGGAACTAGTAATGGTTCTTGCTCTTGTAATGGAGGGTCATGTGGAGGTGGTGGTTATAAATGTGGTTCTGATGATTGGCAATGGAAAATAAACAAGAAAAATGGGAAAGCATACGCATACAAAGCGTTTAATTATACTGGATGTTTTTGGCAAGTAGGAGATTCTGAACAATTTTTAGCTCATCCTGTTAATTTCCCATAAAGTGTCTCGCAATCTGCAAAAAATACAAAGCTGTTCCTTGTTCAATACAATCAAGTGATGATAACGACTTTATTGTTAAAACAGTATGTTCCGGTTTACTCTCGTCAAGTTCTTCAAACTCATCTCGCAAACGTCGAGCTACTTCAGATACCTGTATATACACTGGCATTCATCGTCAAGTTACGAATCCGTCAACTGGAGGCGTTTCTTGCACTTGTAGTGATGGAAGTTCTTGTGGTTATGGAAATGATGATGCGGTAGATACATTTTAAGATCATTCCTTTTACAGGGGCTCCACTCAATTTGGTTATTGAGTGGAGCTCCTGGAGGGAGCTCTCCTAAGTTAGGCAGTTAAAAAGGAAAGAGCTTCCTGATGATGGAGAGCTTCTCTTTCTGATTCACCTCATTATTCGATATACTTCTCAGCCCAAGTGTACAAAATATAAATGTTTGTCTATATGTGACTAAAAATTCTTTAATTATAGCATGGAGATACCACAACAACCTCTTTTACCTCCACAACCTCTCGGGCCACTACACTCAAATCCTCAACAACACAAAAGGCAGCAACTACATCAACACAGAAGTCAACAACAAAGCTCGCAACTTCAACATTTATAAGCACATCTACAGCTGTTCCAAGCAATCCATGGGCTCCGGGATGCCCTGCTAATTCTACAACTGGACAAAAGGACAATGGTGGGTATGGGTCCAGAAACTGTATTGGTATAAATGGAGATGGTAAATGGGTGGACCAAAGTTGTGACAGACCGGCCACAGCAGTTATATGCATGAAAGAGTGTGATCAACCATAAAGTTGTGTGAATGAGAGAATCATGAAATAATTCAAGAAAATGAAAGATTAAAATAAAAAAAAATTAAATAAATAACCAATATTTTCGTATTATACATTATAAAATAACTAAAATAATAAATGGCAAAGTTATGGATAAAATTTAAAATAAGAAATTCTTTTAAAGTAATAAGTTGAGAAGATTCTGGAAACTTGTGACTCTCCAGTGGAGAGTCAAGAATTTAGGGCAAAATTCATTCAAAATAATAAGTTGAGAAGCTTCTAGAAACTGAAGAGTCAAGAATTTAGGTCAAAAATCATCTTAGAATACTGTAACCGATGACGTGTGTACTGAATTTTTGAATATAGCTGATTTGAATTTTACATAAAATTTTTTCATAATGCCAAATTCCTTATTGTATGCCTCATTGTAATCAGAACTAAAATTAATCTTTAAATTAATAGGAAGACAAAAGTCTTTAGACGTTATCCATCTAAAATGGTTTAGGGTCGAAGGATTGAGACGGGCATTATCAAAAAGATGTCGAGATCTAAGCCTGAGACTCATATCCATTTAAAAAATGCCAAGGGCTGAAGGTTTGAGGCTTATTTCTTCTGAAATGAGTTAATAGTCAAGAGTAGGGTTGCCAAAATGGACTGACTCGGACCGAAAGATCGAGTCGGGCCTAAGATATATGGCCGAAAAAGACTCGTACGGCCCGACTCGATAAAAATGAGCCCGAAACTATGACTCGAATGTCGGCCCGAGCAAACCTAGTCGAGAGACAGTCTGAATTCATTCTAATAGGGATCAAAGTCCTAAGACTAAAATCCAGCCAAAAAGTTTAATCTCTTTCGTTTATCAATACCTGTTCAAATAAAGTATCGGAGCGTTTAATGCCGCAGATACATTCAGAATAAGTGCATTATAACAACCCAAATACCATATCATTACAGGATTCTTAGTTATAAATGCGATACTTGCAAGAATTGAGGCCAAGTAGAGAAAATAACCTCCAATGTTCAACAAAATTATTAGAGTGATTGAACGGAATAATTTCCGCATCTTTTCGTTGGTCAAGTCTGAAATCTAAAATTTTAGGAAATAGATCAATTGCCACCTCCTTTGTATTTTGCCAATATTCCAACTAAAATATGTGCCAAAATTGATAATACAAGCAAAACAATAAACATATTTCTGGTATCAAAAAGTATCGGTAAACCATTAAAATCAGAGAGGTTGCCAGTTACTGGATAATCTGGATCTGCTGAGATTGCAGATACTAACAGACAAAGCATGAATATAGCAAAGATAATCAGGACCAATATGTGTATGTAAATGTAGAGTCGAAATTTGACTTTGATATAACTAAAATTAATAATAAATTTAACAGTATAGTTGATACTGTAGCGCAGATCATTGCTTATACTTCTAACTCTAGTTCGTATAAGTAGTTTGTCAAAAACTTTAATAGGATACAGCACAAGGGCATTACTATAGTAGGGCCGTGATTTCAGGTAGCCCTTTGTATTTGGTATGAATCATACACTCCTTTGTATAATCCTTACCATACCCAGAGCAAGAGGAAAGCATGGGACTAAACAAATTTTCTAAAAATTTTTTACCTAAACTGAAGCTGTACATGTAGCCCGTATGTAGGAGTTAGTCAATCATTAAGGGATATGGGATTGAGGTATGGGATCGATTGGATATGGGATGGGAATCATGGAATGGGATGATGGATGAAATGTATGGATCTATGGGATGTGGAATGGGTATGGGATTATGGATGGAATGTATGGATCTATGGGATGTGGGATCATGAATCTATGGGATCTCTCAATTAAAATCCTTAATTAAGTAAAACCCAAGGAATCTCTCAATTAAAATCACTTACAATAAAGGAAAAGCCACAGCCAAAACCTTGTCAATACTCATAGTCAAAAACATAAAAGTAACAACATAAGTAGAAATAACATAATATCCTTCAATTTCGAATGCTAATAAAGCTGGTATAAAGTCTATTCCTGTAGCTGTGATATAAAAAAAGACAAATTGCCCGCTTTGATGGAGAACTTCAAGGAAGGAGTTGATGGCAATTAAAACGCTCGTCTTTGATTTTAAAGCCGTGTATTTTCCCCTAGAAAATTAATTTTTGGCAAAATATTTAAAAATCCACCAATATTTCCAAGTAATATAGCATACACTTGCATTTAAAAATAGGCCAATTATGGAAGGAAGCATGACCAACGAAGGTAGAAAGAGTTCAAGATGGAAACCAGGATTCGAGAATGCCATATAAATTGGCTAAAAAAATTTATGTTACAAGTAAAATAATTTTGAGACTAAAAACTCACTGGCAAAAGATATGTTTGATTCATACCTAAGAAATAGAAAAGAGATTTTATTATAATGAGAGACTTGTATGAATATGTCGATTAAGCCTGGATTTTGGTTTCAACTGAATGGTTGGATTTCTGAGTAAATTTAAAGTTTTCTTTATGATCTAGTGGGTTCGTGGTGATTAAATCTAACAAATAGGGTACAGTTCAAATCAACGCGCAGCCTTAACAACCTCAATATCAATTGTGTGTTACCGCCTTATCAATTGAGTTTCAGACACTTATCATTTGTGTTTCTGGCCCTTACCAATTGCCCTTATCAAATCGTTTAATACTAAATTTGTAAAGATTTAGAAATTCTGAAGCAAGTTACAGTGCGTTACATAAACATACGTTCACCCCTAATTTTTTACCTAACTCCATTTCGAATAGTCGGATTTATTTCAAATTTCGCCAAAATATAGCTAATTCGATTATAATTTGAGAAAAAATTATCAAAATGTCAAAGCAATTTTGAAAAAAATTTTATTCCAAATTTTTAATAAAACTAGTGTTACATAAATATACGTTCACTTTGAGAATCCCTGTAAAAGTCTAGTTTCCACTTATTGTAAAATTCTACAAAAAATACCGTGAATATGTCTATCGATTGTATAAAAAATAGAAAAAGAATTAGGGCTCTATCACATTTCAAAGTCGAGATCTCGATACCCTAAAAATCAACGTAAAACTGCGTTTTTCAACTTCAAAAAATATTTTCGACCCCTTATGGTTTGTTTTAAATTTTAAATTTGAGCTCATTCGAAAGCCCTTTAAATTTGCTACACGATAGTAAAAATCTTATTTCCGAGAAAAAATTCTAATGAGAGATATATGCCATTAATCTTCCGAGGCTATCATAAAGGGCATTTTATGGGGCATTTAGGCGTTTTTTGTTGACATAGAATTTGAAATAAATCCAACTATTCGAAATGGAGTTAGGTAAAAAATTAGGGGTGAACGTATGTTTATGTAACGCACTGTATGTCCTTGCGTTGTTATGGCCATGCGTTGTTTGGTTCATTAATTCTATTCCCTAACAAATAGAATTAATGAACTTTAGGTTTAAATTCATTAACCATATATGTATAGTGCATTCTAAAATTTTAAAAAAGTTTTTTATTAAATATTTTATTGGTGGCAGATGGAGGAAATCTTAGAAAACATCTGTCTTTAATGCACTTTGAAATTAAAAACTTGTATAAAATATAAAATTCTATAATTTTACTATTCAAAATTAGTAAATTAAGCTTATTATGAAAATATATTATAAGAAGTTTAATCAAGAATTTTTAATTAAATAATCAGATTTATTAAGGAGACAGGATTTCGCATATCCGATATGATCAACTTTACACGTATTATCTCATTAACTTTAATTTAATGGGAGAAATGGCGTGATATTTTAATTGAGCTATGGATTAGGCTTTCAAATAATATATAGAAGAAACTTTATTGCTTTGAATCAAACATTGCCAATCAAAATTAGAAACATAATTTCTATATGACACCCACTTAATAAGGAGCAGGCCAACGTACCGCGAGCAAAACGTACCGCGAGCCCAACGTACCTCCCAACGTACCTCAGAGCTTCAAAGTAGTCGAATCTGGGACGCTTTGGTATGGTTTGATGCATCTCGACAAGCTGAATCGAACTATATCAGGGCACCCCGGATTCAACTATTCTGAACGAAGTTATAGCTCGGCGGTACGTTGGCCTCGCGAATACGTTGAGGTGTACTCCTCGATAATTTATTTAAAAAATATCATTTAAATTTATTCAAGTTTAAAATGAATTAAATCTTAATTTTATGAAGCGAATAAAGAAGAAAGATTTTACGTGTATTTAAGGAAAGTATAGGATTTTTAGGAAAATTAGTTTAAAAATTTTTTAAATTAAATTGAAATCCACCCATTGAAAATCCACCCATTTTTTAAAATTAAAACCCATTTCACGTTTTATAAATTCATCAAGGCTTAACACATTCCTTTTTGCAAAGCACTTTGCTTATAGGACGTGTACAACCCACATCCTTCCATTTACCATTTGAAATTACACAGCAGTTTTTCTTGCCATATTTGCCGTCATCCATGTTCGAAGCATTAGCTGGGCAACCATTTTCCCATGGATTTTTTGAAGTTGGATCCTTGGAAAAGTAGAAAAAATTATGGTTAACTGGCAAACAGCTATAAATTGAACCTTCTTTATATCTAACCCTCTCCCCCCCCCCCCGCCCCCCGTTAAATAAAATTTCAATGCTACTTATTCTGAAAACGGATCCCTCAGCCCGAATTTTGAAGTGTAGAAGGAAAACTTGTCTTATCATCACCAACTCAGGACCAACTTAGCTGATGTTAGATAGAATGTTCTGACAAATGAAGAAAAGTAAAGGCCCACATGTCCACTATGACCCTTATTATTAAATTTTATAATAATTACAGTTTCGTAATAGCATTGCCTATCTTCACCATCCAAGCATTCAATATTAGCACCATCCTCAGTCACCATACGGTGCATATCAATCCAAACATCCTTTCCTTTACACCCACAATAATGCTTACATACATGTTCATTCTCGTCCTCAGACTCAATGGAGCATACGGAGGCGTGGTGCTTGCGACATTTCGCAAGAGCCTGAAGAATAAATTTTGGGAATCATGGATAATTAGCCTTATTACCTTCCAATAGCTTCCCTTTACAGAATATTTATGGTAACTATAACATTTGCCATTTTTGAAACATTTCCACTTCCAACCATCTGCCCCACATATATTCGAATTGTTTCCACAACTATTAGGAGTAGATGTTTCTGTATCTTCTGTTGTAGCTTCGTCGTATTGCACCTCAGTTGTTGCCTCTTCGGGTGTTTGTGTTGTTAGTCCAACTGCTGTTGTTGTAGACGAGGTTGTGGTGGTTGAATTATCCTCGTTTGGACAGTCAGCCGAACAGTTTCTTTTACAAATTCCACCTCCGAGCAAAGCGTAACACGAAATGTCGTTCCACAGAGGAGTTGTATCGTTAAGAAACATCATTGTACATCCCTCAATCTCCCCTTTAAAATATTATTAAAATATTTGGGCGGGATTTAGTTGATAAATTTGAAATTTTCACTTGTAGTCCGAGGCATACAGTAAATGAAAATTCAACCCTTCGTTTTTGGACTGTTATGTTTATGCTTTTGTCTGTCATAAATCCTCGAGGGACCCGGAGATCTTAAAGATAAAGTAATCTTGGGTTTCCGAGTCAGTTGCAACTAGCCTAAGCCCTCACGAGGGCAAGAAATAATTTCTATTTTTTAGATTCATACCACTAGTAGTAGCATTTAAGGAAGATGGACTGCCATACGCCCATGGACGAACATCACGACTGGGTATTGGGAGTCCATCATAACGTCCGTAGTCGACAGGCGTACCGTCCAACCATGCAGAATGTACTGTAGGATCGTTAAGAGGATGTGCAAACTGAACACGGGAAAGGCCAATCCAAAATGAACGATAAAGCATATCTTAATTTTAGAATTTATAGTTGTATCGAATTCCAAACTATCTACATACGAAGGGGTTTTAGTGATATCACCCGGTGGTACTGGTTCTCAATTTGTTTTAGGGAAGGGTCAGGGCCTATAGATTGTCTTTAAAAAATCATAATACCACCAGGTACTTGAGTGTGGCACCGTGGCTTCAATGTACCGGTTGGTTACCAGTTGTTAATGTAATACACATACACTCCTCCACAAAAGTATAAGGGCACTTTTATTTTAGCAATTTTTTTACTTCCAATGATCCAAATTTTCTGAAAATTTAGATACACACCTTTTAGTGAATAACTAATAAGATGTGCATCGATTTTTGGCTGATTTTTTATTTTAAAAATTTTTAGACAAAAATTTGCATTTTCGGCCTCCACAAAAGTATAGGGGCAGTTACAAAAAAGATATTTCCAAGATTAGAAAAAATCTACAAAAATTCTAGCAAAGATACATAATGATATTATGAAAAAATAAAAAAAAAACTAGACCCATATCTTTACCCGGAGCCGAGATCCTGAGACCCCGAAAATCAACGTAAATCAGGGGTAAGGCTCTTTAAAAAAATTTTCGACCCCTTATGGATTGTTTTGAATTTTGATTTTGGGCTCATTCGAAAGCCCTTGAAATTTGCTACAAGATAGTAATACTCATATATCTCAGAATCAATTCAATAGAGATATGCAGGACGTTAATCTTCCAAGCTAATTTTATGGGGCATTAGGGCGTTTTTTGTGCCTTAGAAATTTAAACCTTGGGAACTTACTGAGATAATTTTTCTAGAAAATAAAACTTTTGATATCTTGTAGCAAATTTCAAGTGCTTTCGAATGAGCCCAAAATCAAAATTCAAAACAATCCACAAGGGGTCGAAAATTTTTTTAAAGAGCCTTACCCCTGATTTACGTTGATTTTCGGGGTCTCAGGATCTCGGCTCCGGGTAAAGATATGGGTCTAGTTTTTTTTTATTTTTTCATAATATCATTATGTATCTTTGCTAGAATTTTTGTAGATTTTTTCTAATCTTGGAAATATCTTTTTTGTAACTGCCCCTATACTTTTGTGGACAGCACAGGAGGATTTGAATCCTTTAGAAATTATTTTCAAAAACTACCAAGAAATGCGTCGCCTGTGCTATCATTTTTAACTCTCTGCTGACAAGCATTTGTTTGTTGGCATAACTTCATTAATGGTCCAGCTATTTGGCCAACAAAATTATTTTCAGCAGCGCTGTGGATACTGACAACTTCGCCTCCTTGTTGCTTACAGATTGTGTTTGCCTATATTTAGATAAATATTTCCTTGTCTACGAACATATTTTTTTAATTTTTTGGGCCTGCTACTGATAGAGATCATGATACCACTGGTTACACGAGAGTAAAACAAATCATTTTTAATTATAAAAATTCAATGAGGAGCTATCGCTTAACAGAGCGTGATATGATGGGTTGGGTTCAATGTACCGTAGGATTATCATTTCTTTATAATTTTGTTCGTTTTGTTTCATGTTAGGATAAAAAACTCTTTAAATAATTTTTTATTTGACATAAATTTACTAGAGATTCCCCAGTTGGATAATGCCGAACAAAGTTATAATTTTGCTGTAAAGCGGCATTACTGTATGTCGATAGAATGCGGATAAGGGTATTATAAAATTATTTATTTTAATTCGATTAATACTTTAGGCCCCTCTATAAATTTCTCTTTGCTTTAACTCATTCCTCTAAATGTTTTTTAAATTATTATTTCGTTTTATAACCTCAAATATAGTAATCAAATCAGAAATAATAGCCATATACCCATAGGTGCTTCCATCACTATCAACTCTCGTAGTCCATTTACTAGAGCAACTACAATGGGCATAGTAAGGGAAGATTAATGAAAATAAAATTAAAGGTATTAATGAGGTAATGGACATTCTCAAAATTTTAGTTGAGGTATTGAAGAGTTAATTGAGGTATTGAATATTTATTTGAGGTATTTTATTATTTTATTGAGGTATTAAATTTATTTATTTTTAATTTTTATTAGAATGAATTAATTTTAGAATACTTCAGCATGACTTATAAGCAGCAATATTTTCAAATTTTAATCCAATAATATTTTTTCTCGTTAGATTTTTTGAATACGCAATACCTGACTTTTGGCCACTTTAAAAATATTATTATTTATTTTTAAAATGCAAATCGTTAGAATTTTTTGGCAAGTTTGGGAAGAGGGTTTCTCTCCATCTCTCCTTTATGGCCTTATCCACGTTGCATTTAAATAAATTTGAATTAATAAAAAAATTTTTCTAGAAGAAAAAAATTTTTTTTTCATGTGAATCCAAAAATAAAATATTATTTTTTAAACCTTGCAAGGAAATATTATTTTTAAAAACCCAAAAATCAAATAAAAAAATATTTAAATCTCTCCAAATTTAATTTTAGAGAGAGAGAAAAAAGCAAACTCCAAAAAATATTATTTTTTATTTTTTAAATTTTATAGTTTATAATTAAAATTAAGTGATGGATTTATTCGTTATTCTATTCTATAGATTTAATTAATATAATAACTTTTGGGGAAATTTAGCTGACGTATTAAGGAAGTGTTACTATGTAGTAGGGTTGCCGTTTTCGGTTCGAGCCGACGTGCGGTGCATTTTTTTCGAGCTCGGTTTTTTTCGATTCAGTTCGTTTTCGAGCCTTTCGAGCTGAAAAGCATCGGCTCGCTTGATCTTTCGAGTTCCGGGTCGAGCGAGCTGGCAACCCTATTTATTAGGGTGCTGGTATATCATAGATGTTTATCTGTAATCTATTAGCTGGACTGTAATTAGGTTAGAAAGGCATTAGGGGTTTTCGAAACACACTCCTTTCCCTTTATTTCATAGACGATTTTAAGTTGACATACTCTCGGAACCTGGAGCTATCTACATAGGCTATATTTGATTGGACTCTGAAAACGGAAGCTATCTAGGCGATATTCTCACTTTTACGTTACATTTTAATTCCAAGGGCTGTACATGGATTCTGCCGAAAAAAATCAAAGCCATATATCGGGAATTTATTTTTTATTAATAAAATCAAATGGATATATAAAATTTATGTCTCTGGCCTAGATTACGAGTCCAACGAAGAGTTGTGCTCTTTAGGGGTAAAAAGGACGGTCCATGACCTGAAACCTCTCGGGGCATGTTCGATAAGGTTAGCTTCATTAGCATTAGATAATCCTCATTGGACCTACTCATTGAACTCATAAACTAGTCAAGAGTTTTAAATATTAATTAAGGTCCAACGACTTTGATAATACGTGAAATAAAATATTTAATAACTTTGAAATATTTCATGATATTTAATAATATTTATATAATTATTTATCATTTTCATTCAAATTGATATTTCGAATTTTCAAATCACTTCCATATTCTCCTGAAATATTATTTATATAATTGTGTGAATTTAGAATTTTAATTGTTAATTTATTTATAATTGGGTATCTAATTTGAGTAGAAATTGTGAGCGAGACAGGAAACTAGGCTCCGATTCTCGGTCATTTCCCTAATGTTGATTTTTCGTATCAAATTTCTATTTTGAATAAAATCAACTCTTACAGGTCGCATTCTTTCTAGCGGCGCAATCATTGAATCTATTGCCGCAATGATGGAGCTCTAGTGTATTTCATGTTATTTGTCAATATTATAATAGTTCCAGCCTCAATAAAAAAAGAAAGATTGACAACTAAAAGGAATAATAAAATGAAGAAACGTATTCCAACATTCATTTCTAATTTAAAATCTTTAAATTCTATAAAAAAGGTTTATATATAAAAATTATAAAAGCAAATAAATAAAGCTCTAGCCTAAATTTTGGGTCCAATGAATTCATGAATATATTCCATTTAAAGTAGAGTTGATCAAAACGATACTGGTATCGGCCAACCCGAGACCGAGATTGACCGATACTCAAGAACCCGATACCGAGACCGATACCATTATTTTGAGCCGAAACCGATACCGAGAAACGATACTGACCGAGACTAAAAAATTTTTTTATTTTATGTCAAAAAATACGTGTAAAATAATTTATTCATTATTTTCATCATCTGAATCCGATCTGGCTTGGCAATGGATACAAATTTTTGTATCCGTATCCGAATAGGTATATCCGTGAGGGCGATTTCCGTATCCGTTTATATCCGTACAACTTTTGAGGCATATCCATCCGCGGATAGCCGAAATAGAAATTTCGGTTAACCAAACCATTGATTTCAGCGCCAAAGCCAAAAATTTTGAGAATTTTAAAAGTGCAAGTCAACAGATTTCTTCCAATTTTCAGCGCCGCAGGCGAAAATTTGTAGTTTTGAAAGACCAAGAAGCCAGAATTCTTCCAATTTTTGCCCTCAGATACGCGCTCATCCCTGCTTCCAATCATTTTAAATCCCCTTTTCCACTGGTGGGAACAATAGTTGCCGAAAATCAGAAGGCTCTGTAATCAAAATCTTGAAAATCTAACGGCCGAGGGCTCGGAAAATTCAACATTTCAGCGCGCGCCGCAGACGATAATTTATTAAATTTTTAAGGCCAAGTCACCAAATTTCTTCCTTTTTCAGCGCCGCAGGCGAAAATTTTTTGAATTTAAGAAGACCTTATTCGAAAAAAATTCACTTTCTCTGTTAGGAGGGATATCCGAAAAAATTTATGGACGAAAACATGGACAATATTGGTAATTTTGTTTCTTTGAGTCAGTATTGTTTCTCGCCGAGAAATGGACCGAGAATATCGGTATCGGTTTCTAGACCGAGAATGAAAAAACCGAGACCGATATTGGAAAAAAGCCGAGAATCTCGGTATCGGTCTCGGTATCGGTCTCGTCTTGATCAACTCTAATTTAAAGTCGTATATTTAATTTAAAGTTCTATAGGAAAATTCTGTAGGCCTGGAATGGGGGAGGGAGAGGAATGGAGGGCTGTGCCCAATTAAATTCTTGCATATTATTTCATATCAACGGCCGCCTTATCTCCTGTAAGAAAAGTATCGTTTTGGCACATATTAATGTATTCGAGAGGATTCATAAATCATCATTCTACACAGGTTTGTCGGATTAGAAGCGTCGGATATCCCAGATATCCCAAAAATTTATGTTCGGATATTAGATCCGGATATCCAAAAGTTTCGAATCTGATCGTATATACCGGGATTTCTCAGTATCCGAAACCTTATAGGACCATTCATAGCAATCAATGGACTCATAAGCTAGACCAGAGCCGAAGATATTAAGTCAGACGACTTTTAAATTTTTAAATAACATATTAAGTTAAAAAATTTTATTAATAAACACATCTATATGTTGACATTTTTATAATTAAATTTAAATTCCTGCCGTTTAGTTTTCAAATCATTTCTTTCCAGGATAATATCCTGAAATATTTTTTTATAAAATTGCTTGTAGTATTTAAAAAGAAAGTTAAAATTTTACTCAGAATTCAGATTGGAAATAATTTTAGTTAGTTTTTGAGTACACATTAAGCATGTCCGAGTTTATCCGTACCCCTAACCTCTGAATATCCATAGTTCTGTCTATAAGGATTTTTTGGATAAATAAAAATAGCCACCTCTTACAAGTCGGACTTGTCCCGGCGGTAAATTTCCATTATTATTCACCATTGCTGAGGCATGACGTTTAGCTCTAACTTCATGGTTTGGAACTGAACGTCTTGGTTTATGTGGTGGCATTGGAGGTTTCGGCCCCTTTTCTGAAAGATTTTTAATGTAATTATCACCTCTTATAAGATTTTTTGTCGGAAAGGATTTTAGGATGAATAAAAATATCACCTCTTACGAGACGTATTTTTTCAGGCGGTGCAATGATTAAATCCATCGCTGTGGCATGACGTCGAGCTCTCACTTCTTGGGATGGAACTGAACGTCCCGGTCGATAAGGATGGGTAGGCCAGGTCCAAGGAGGCCCAATAGCAGAATCAACTAAAATATTTGAAATAAAATTTTAGTATATTCTACTAAATTAAAGAAAATACCTTCAGTAAAGAAGGAAAGATTGACAACTAAAAGGATGAATAAAGTGAATAAACGTGCTCCGCCATTCATTTTTAAGATAATTTTAAAAATTTAAAAGAAATTAATAAAATATATTTTAATTAAGTCACATATTAAAGAAAATCACGCCTAGCACCTATAGAATCTTGATGAAAAAAATTTTCGGGAGGGTGCGTTCACGGTTTAACACTTAAGCTAAATATGGATTTTTAATCATTTTGAACTAGCATTAGACAAATAAAAATTTCCAGAAAAAATAGCGCTTTTTCACTGACGAGAGGGGGGGGGGAGGATGTCATGTAACAAATTTTTGTGAGGAGCGCAACGGGAGAGTTCACCACATTCGGGAATTGGATACAATCGTACAAATAAAAGGCAGCAGTCTGAAAAGCCTTATACTAAAACAACGTTCTATACTAAAATTATGTTGAATAATCATTGTTAGTTATTGAAGAATTTAATCAAATTCAAATTAATATTAATGAATATTTAATTAAATTTACACTTTAATTTATACTATCAAAAAATATTAAAAATATTATAAATCTTCTTGATGTAATTATAAATAAAATTGTGTAATTACTCGCTGAATTTGTTAACTTATAAAAAATTAACATTACTAATATTTATTTTTAATTAATCAAATTTTAAAAATAAAATTTGAAGAAAGATGTTTTTTGAAAACTTGATTGGAATAAAATTCTTAAAAAATACTTCTAACGATTTAACAAACAAAATATTTTTCGAAAAATTTAATAAGAATTTTTTATTCTAAAGAATCTTGCTATGACGTTTCACGCATCTATTAAATCCGTGACATAATCATTGTACTCATAAACTAGACAAAAGCCGAAAATATTTAATTAAGCCAATCGATTTTTAAATAATTAAATCACAGTCTTAAAAAATTTATCAATTAGATCAAATTACAATTTTATTTTAGATACTTTTACTAACAATAACTTTTTATCGCTTTATGACGAATCTCAGTCGAATCTCAATTAAATGTTGAACTTATTAGTTTCGCAGATTATTTCTTTCCCGAATTATATCCTGAAATATTTTTATAATATATAGATGATTTTAAAAACAATTTTAGTTATAATTTTGTGTAAAAAGAAAATAGGATCGAGTCTTATAGTTCCCCTAAACTTAAGTATTCCCTAGTCTCTTTCTTGAAGGATCTTAGGGTGAATAAGTTAATCACCTCTTACAACTCGCATTTTTTCTGGCGGTGCAATGATTGAATCCATTGCTGTGGCATGACGTTTAGCTCTAACTTCATGGATTGGGACTGAACGTCCAAATCGAGGTGGGTGACCAATAACAACACGTTTAGCTCTGTCTTGGTCTGACACAGAACGTCCTGGTCGATAAGAATGAGTAGGCCAGTCCATAGGATACACAACAACACGTTTAGCTCTAACTTCATGGTTTGGAACTGAACGTCTTGGTTGTCCGATTCCTGGTCGCCATAAAATGGAATCGACTGAATTGTTAAAATTAATTTTGTATTTTTTAAAATCAATTATTAAATAACAAGAATTATTTTAAAAATACCTTCAGTAAAGAAGGAAAGATTGACAACTAAAATGAAGAATAAAGCGAATAAACGTGATCCAACATTCATTATTAATTTATAAATTTTAAAAATCTAAAAAAAATTTAATAATCATGATTAAATAAAAATAGGGCTCTGGTCTAGATTATGAGTCCAAAATTATGAGCTCAATTACAGTATCATAAATTTCAATTTTGGCCTCGTACTGGTACTTCGTACCACCCCTATTTTTTGCTTGTACTTGTACCAAAGTACGAGCACGAGTACGAATTTTGGTACGAATATATGACCAGAGGTACGTTGAACTCTTAAACTAGAACAGAGCTAAAAATATTTTAATCGTCTTAGACGACTTTAATAATTAAATCCATACGTATATTTACTTTAAATTTATCAATTTTGTCAAATTACATTTTTAATTATAACGTTATATATTTTAATTTGAACGTCTTGCCTCTACATTATATCATTAAATGTTCAAATCATTTCTTTCACGGATCATTTCTTTCCCCCATGATATCCTGAAATATTTTTATATAGTTAATTTAAAAATAATTTTAGTTATAATTCTTGTGTAAAACAGAAAGTTAGGTTTGACTCTTGTCGTTCCCTAAACTTTGAGTTCCTTAGTGTCCTTCTTCAAGGATTTTAGGGTGAATAAAAATAATCACCTCTTACAACTCGCATTTTTTCTGGCGGTGCAATGATAGAATCCATTGCTGATGCATGACGTTTAGCTATAACTTCATGGTTTAGAACCGAACGTCCTGGTCGTGATGGCCGAAATGGAAATACAATGGAATCGACTAAATTTTTAAAATTAATTTTGTATTTTTTAAAATCAATTATTAAATAACGAAAATTATTTTAAAAAATACCTTCAGTAAAGAAGGAAAGATTGACAACTAAGAGGAAGAATATAGCGATTAAACTTGCTCCACAATTCATTTTTATTTTAAATTATTCTAAAATTCTGAAACTTTTTAAAAACATTTTTTAATTTTTGATAAACATTAAAGAAAATCGCCTAAAAAATTTTGATAAAAATATTTCTAGACAGGCGTTCACGTAGATTACAAAAGCTAAAATTTGGGGGTGGGTTAAAAATTCCGATTTTTTATATATAATATTCCATGAGTTGGTCCAGGGTTGCCGCGGGTACAAAAAATCTTCGGGTACGGGTTTCGGGTTGGCAAAAATATCGGGTTTCGGGTTGGAAAATTTTCTTTTCGGGTATCGGGTTTCGGGCGGCAACCCTGATTTGGTTGTTCCACGAGTTGGTCATTCCTTGATTTGTCTGTTCCATGATTTGTCTGTTCCTTGAGTTAGCCCGACATGAAAATTTGGATTCTAACTTGAAAAGGAACATAAATCTGAATTAAAATTTTCGAGCCGATTAACCTGATGTCACATTAAGAAAGGTAAAAATATCGTGCTTAAGCTTTCAATGTTAATACTAAAAAAATGCATAAGCATTTCCCCGATCTCACCCAAATAATTATCCCCCCTTTGATTAATTACCCACTCTAATGTGGGGGGCTAGAACATACACTGCGTAACAAAAAGATGGCGCATCATGCTTTTTTGACATAACTCAATGGAAAAGGGTCCATTTCGACTGAAAATTTTTTTATAAATAGTTTTCATGACTAGGATAAAGATAAGCTAAACCGCGCGGAAAAATTTTTTTCCTGAATTTTTTTATAAAATAATAACCGTTTTAGCAGTGTAACAAAAAGATGGCACATTTTAAATTTTCGAGATTAGGAGTGGTCTGAAAAATCTATAAAAATTCCTGTAAGCATCTCTATTGATATAGATAGAAAATACAAAAGAAACGAAGTTCTAATATACTTCCATCATCGAGATCTAAAAACCCGAAAATCAACGGAAAACAGGGGGTGAGCGTCTTTAAAAAATATTTTCTACCCCTTATAGGCTAAATTAAATTTCCATTTTATGCTTTTCTGAAAGCCCTTTAAATTTGCTATAAGAAACCTTATTTCTAATAAATCGAAAAATTTTACTTGGGAGATATTGAGTGTTAAATTCAATGGACATGAAAATCATTAAATTTACCCCTTTCTGAGCACCTTAAAAATTTAATGAAGTACAACTTAATGGAAAAAAATTTCTGTAAATTTTGCCGCGCGGTTTAGCTTATCTTTATCCTAGTCGTGAAAACTATTTACAAAAAAATTTTCAGCCGAAACGGACCCTTTTCCATTGAGTTATATCGAAAAAACATGATGTGCCATCTTTTAGTTACGCAGTGTATGTATAATTTAATTATTTTAGATTGAAATAAGCAGTTAAATGAATAATATAATTAAATTTGCACTTAATTTATATTAACAGATTTAATACAAAAAATATTTAAAATTTTGTTCCTTAAAATATACTTTATGCAATTAAAAATAAAATTGCATTATTATTCGCTAAATTTGTTAAAATATAAAAAATTTAAGTTCCATTTAAATATTCATTTTTAATTAATCAAAATATTATTTATTTCCTTTTTCGTTTAAAAATAAAATTTTGAAGAGACAATGTTTTTTAAAAAACCTGATTGGAGTGAAATTTAAAAATTTAAAATCTAACAATTTGACAAACAAATTATTTAAAAAATTTTAATAAGGAGGAAGGATACATCATTATCACTAAAACACATCCTCGTGATTGAATAACGAAGAAGTAAATTTACAGACGTGTCGGAAATCGGAAGAGCTTGAAATCAGAACTGGCTCAAGAGTCGGAACTCGGAAATCGGAGATAAAGATTTTTTCGGAAATCGGAACAAAAAAACTCCGAAAATTAGAAATCGGAAATAAAATTTTTATTTTCGCATCTGAATTAATATTTAAAATTGTAAAGCGGTAAAGCGGCCTCTTGAGTGTAATTTGAGTGAGTGGCAACTCAAAAGTCAACTTTGAAGGGATTAAAAGAGATTGTGGTATTTGGGTGAGCAGACGGGATATCAGAAAATTTATAGAGGGGATCTGGAAGTCAGATCAGAAATGGATGTTTTTAAACATGGTATTTGAACGGATTAAAAAATTTTGACATTTGTTCAATAGGGAGTTGACTTTTTAGGAGTTGAACTTCTAGGGTGGACCCCTAAAAAGAAGGGGCGTTAAAAAGAAGAAAGAAATGAGAAGAAGATATAATACGAGGGTCGATTTATATGAGAGTCGATTTTCCCTCCCTCGAATAATTCCCCTCTCTCAAATAATTCCCCCTGCTACGGATGAGTTGAAACAATAATCGCTTTCCGCCAAATACCTTAAAACACGTTCAACTTTTATAACTCGAATAATTCCCCTCCCTCGAATAATTCCCCATCCCACGGATAGGTTGAAATATTAATTCCCCAGGGGAATTAATCGAATAAATACGGTAAGTTAGCTTCAATGTCATAAGTACGAGGGTCGTTTTAATGTATTTATAAGGTATTTCTTTATACTGTACTATATACAAGTACGAGTCGCAGCCTGCATATTGACACTTATGAAAGACAAATTATCTAGTAATTATTACATATCTAGAGTAAATCGAGTACCGAGTAAAAGCGGGAAAAACCGAGTTCGAGTAATGCCGAGTTTTAAAACCCCGAGTTCAAGTACTCGAGTTCAAGTAACTTTTTAGGCCGAGTTCGACTACGAGACTGGAGACTCGGACTTACTCTAGTATGTATTATCAATAAGTCCATTTTTACCTTGTGTTTTACTCAATAAAATTTCTAAATAAATAGAAAAAAGCAAAGAACTTGCTTTTAGATTTAAAAATAGCAAATTTAAAATAGTAAAAAGATTGGGAAATCTCAATTTTATCGAATTTTTATTTAAAAAACTCCAAAAAAGGAGTAAAGAATAATAATTTAGCAAAAAGGTAAGCTAGCGGTTGGCCTGTCATTCAAGAACAAAATATGTAGATGAAAAAGACTAAAGTTAACACTTGGTTTCAAAATACTCAGCTGTTTAAATATTTTAAATGAGCTTTGAGTTGAGAGATAGCCTAATGTTTCTTCGGTAATTCTTAAGGGGAAAGTGCAAATTAGACAATATAAATACAGCTATGTGAAGTTGAGTAATACATATTTACATATATTATTTTAATTAAGTTATTAAGTTATATGCCCGCAAATTTCCTTTGTTTTTATTCTGTCCCTTCTTTTCTTATAAAATACAAAAGATCACCAATAGTAAAGCAGCTGGTCTATAGCTATTTATCTCCCTTAGCTAGTGCAATAGGTTATTCGGCGGCTGGGAGCGAACCAGCATCTTCAGTAGACCGAACTGATGTGTTAGCCACTACACCACTCACCCTACTGCACATCCTTAGGAATTAAATAGCGTTTCCAGTTCCGGAACTGGAATTCCGGAACTGGAACTTTTGCATCACTGACCCTAAGCCGAGATCCTGCGAGCCACAAAATATTTGTGGATGTATATTTTTGGGACACAGTGTATATATTAATATTAAATTTAAATAATTTAAGAATCTAAAAAATGCTTTCTTCTTCAATTAAAATTTGTTTATTTTTTCTTTTAATTTTTGTATTATTCCAATTAAACGCTGCTTGTGTTGGATTATATGGAGTATGTTCTGGAAAAGGACAAGGAAATTGTTGTAAAGGTTTAAAATGCCGTGATGCTTTTTCCGATAGCTCCATATGTGAGCGACATTGAAATGAGAAAGTATGTCTATGAACACAAGATATGCAGCAGATGTTAAATTATAGTATTTTCACAAAATTTCCTTTCCTGGCTGTCAAATTCTCTTCTTTAAACTTTTTTCTTTGAAAATGTAAAATTTAACAATTTTGTTGAATAAAACAAGACGATATATACAGATTAGAGAGAAGCAAGGAAATCGTTAAGTTGCTTCTAAATAGCTATTAGGGCTATAAGCCGCCTATTATCGAAGCTTACATCGCCGCTAATTTGACCTTAGGAAGGCAGTATGTAAACTGGTGCATATAAGCTCTCATGACAAGGTACCGGATTTTTATTGAAATTTTTTAAAAATTGCGTATTAGGTTTATATTTCGGCGAATTGAGTAGCTTTAGTCAGTTGAACATTTTTATATAGGGCCGAAATGCGATAGGGCATTTTCAGGCTTTGCCCAGTGGAACTTTTGGGGTTATATCCATTTTGGGTTGAGAATTTTTAGATATTTCATAAAAGCCGGTCCCTACTCATGAATCTCAAACAATAAGGAATTACACTTTTTCATTCAATCAGCTGAGTTGCTAACCGTAAAATTCATCGAGTCTTAAGAAAACAGAATTCCGTATATTCCACCCACCCCGGCAGAAACCTCCAAGTATTTTGAACTTAACAAACTAAACAGGAAATGAAAATATTTATTTAAAATCCGACGACTTGATTATATGAATCACATGCGTATATTTTCATAATATTTATCAATAATTATATTTTTAAATTCTACCCTTTATATTATTACATAAAATCGCAAAGCTGATTTACAATTTAATTTTTAATTATCTCTTTCCCTGATTCTATCCTGAAATATTTTTAAAATTTATTTAAATATTTTAATTAAAATATTCACCTCTTCTGGTATCCTCATTATCCATCGGTGCTAGGATTGAGTCCATTCCGGTAGCATGCCGACTAGCTCTGAAGCCTTGGTCTGGAATAATAATTTTCAAGAACTCGTTAAGACATGAAAATTTTTTAAAATGAAGTTTATTGGAAAATATTACTCTAGGTACTTTTTTGTTCAAAATCTCGCTTTAAGGGGTAATCATTTGAGAGGAGGTCATTCAAGCATCTTTTAGGATAGCATATTATAACTATATTTAACGGATAATTATTTTTACAACCCCTAATCTGAGGGGGGGAGGGGGATAATTAAATCTGTTATATATATAAGTAATTATTAAACAGTGGGCTATTATTCGAGCATATACGATAAGGCGTATTTATC